AACGAACGAACGAACGAACGAACAAACAAACGAACAAACGAACGAACGGAAGGAAAAAACTAACAAAAAGAGAACGAAAAAAACGAAACGGAAAGAACTAGGAACAAGCAAACCAACTGAAACAACGAACGGACAAAGAAAACGAAACGGACGAACAAGCGAGAGAACGAAACGAAGGAACAAGAGAAACGAACGTAAGGACGAATGCAAAACCAAAATTAATACTCAAAAAGGTATTCACAACCTCTCTCGGATTGATTATACCTCGTAATGCAGTGGCAGTATTCTACCTCAGTTGTCTTTACTCTCGTTTCTCAGCTATGCGTTCAAGTGTTGAATGTTGAACTGGCGCTCTCCATTGACACCAACCGACCATTCTGAGTGGCCAGTTCTCAAATAGCAATCGTCTGTTCTTATTAGTTTATGAACTTGGTCAGCTTGTTCTATAGATCAACTTGTTCTATAGATCTGACGCGTACCATTGAGAAATGGCCGCTCGGATTGGTCTGTTTGACTTAACGCATGGAAATTCGAAAATCAATGAAATACGTACAAAGGCAAAATGTTAGAGGGTCTCGGCGTTCACAGAAAAAAAGTGAAAATATTTTTTAAAATTATATTTGGTTCTAATGTCGAAATATGAATTTTCATTGCATATTTGAACGGAATATATGCTGAGTTTATGCGAATGAAGAACTCTAATAAACTTTTTTCTCTTTTCCGTTTTTCCTTTTTTAATGCACATATTCACTGAGAAACTAAGAGGCCTATTTGTCATATTCATAGCCAACGAGAGATCCCTAAATTATAGAAATACTTCAGCTTTTTTAAAACAGTTATTGTTTTCAATATGAAAAGTAATTTTCTCACCTTCTTATGAAGAAAATCTGATTTTCTCTTGAAGGAAAGCTTGAAGTCAACGGATTTTTCGCTTATTGGAAAATTTCACCACAAGTACCTTCAACCAAATGAAATTTCAAGTAAAACAGCTTTGAGCTTTCTTTGTTTACTTACTCTTGACCCTGTTTCCAAGACATTCAATATGGCACAATTCACACACTTATGTCATCAAAAGAAGCCAATATAATGAAGAAATTACAAATCGAAGTTGATTTGTATAGAGACTCCATACCGAAGATAACAAACAAGTTTATTGAAAGAAGGTTGGAGTCATGTTAGAGTTAATTCAGATTCGTGTGTTAATTATTTTTTTTCACCATTGTTTTTAACAGAGTTCAAAATGTAGATTGCATTTATATAAAAATTTAATGATGGGAAAAAGTAATTAAAAAAATTTTATGTATGAAGTTGAATTAATAGATTTGTGCAGTTTTTGTAAAAAAAATAATTTAACTTTAATTGATGGCGATTGCCTACTATTGAAAGAAATCCATGAAAGAGTTTTTAAATCTCAATTTCTTCAAAATAACTTTAATCTGATTTAAAAACTGGTAAGGAAAAAGAATAGGGGTGTTACGTTGTTTTTGAGATATTGGCGATTTTACACAATCATATATAAACACGATTTTGAAGACAATGAAGAGAAACCAACCTTAGCTTTTGAGGAGAAAAAAAGTTTTTCTTCAGGAAATCTAAATTCAATTGCATAGTAGTACAAATACAGCTGGGTTGGGGAAGATTTTATCGTATGTTGCTTATAGGGAAGGTACGTACGCGTTTTGTATCTGGGGCAGGAAGGAGGGAAAAAATGCTGTACACATACAAGTCAAAGGGTTTGGAAAAGTTTGATCTAAAAATAGTTAGTATTCTATCATACGCTCGACATATTTGTTTGTCTTAAACGAGTGAATGTATGACAATAATCGTTTACATGCTATATTTTTATTTATGAAGTTATTATTATCTTCAGTTATTAAATGCGGTTCAAATAGATCCTTAATTTAAAAGAATTATGTCATAATAGATTTGCAGTAAACTGAACTTAGGTATAAATACCATCGACTATGTCTCATTTTCTCACTGGACTCTGAAGATGACTTACGCTCAGGTTGTCGAAACGTCAGTCACCACCAACAACAGTTTTTCTCAAGACTACACTCACCCGGACGATCACACTTCACAACAAACTTCAACACCTGGGATCAAACCATTTACTCTTAAACTGAACTTAATAATATCTTAGCATAAGCATATCTCTATTACCTTGCCTTAAAAGCCCAAGGGACGGCGAAGGAAACTCACATCGAGAAAAGGAAATCTGTTATAACTTTATGTTATAGGAAAAACAAAAGGACAATATAAGAATGCAAAATAGGTCATTTTT